CTCTAGCCAGGGGGAATTTTATACTATTGTACACAGGAGGGTTGTTACCCTTCCCTTTATAGTTATGACACAGACTAACACGGCTACCCCTCTGATACTTGAAACTACAGTTAATAGTTCTGCAATTTCACCATCTGGTGAATACCATAAGAAATACAAATAAATTTGCAGTCTAAATTCTGCAAACTAAGCAGGATTAGAATCAAGCAGCCTCTCGTCCTAACAGATGTTACAGGCTGCTCACAGTTCTCAATACACAGGCTGGATTCCCTTTCAGCCTGGGCCCCATCTCCCCAGTTCAAAGTCTTTGTCCTCCAGACGATCTTCCAGCTGATGAGATGGGGGAGGGGAGAGACCTCTTTGACACTTTCATCCAGCCAGGATCTTTCTAGCAGCTGTGACCTGGGGTCAGGCAGCCCCCATAGGTACTTGCTCTCTCTGAGGAGCCTCTGGGAGAGGGGATTGTTCTTGATGGGCCTGCAACGCCTGTCTGGCCGGTGATGGTTGTTCAGGTCAGCTGTGGGCCTCTCCCCACCTCACAAGGTATTTCAGTAACACAGAGCAATACAATGCGAGTACACGCACTTCAACAGGATGCTAATGTTCAACAGATCGAGGCTTTTTAAATGATGCCTCACAAGGCCCTCACATCACAACAGTGAATATGGGGTTCCAGGTGCTCCTGCGGGGTACAGAGTGTCACGGAGGGAGGCTTGAGGGGTGGGGCAGGTCCATAGATGACTGGGCAGAGCCACTGACAGCGCCGTGTGTGTTACAGAGAGCTGGGAGCATGCGGTAAGTATGGCCCAGCCACAGCCCTGCCCCCACCCAGCCACAGCCCCACCCACTGCTCCCTGCCCCGCCCCACGGGCTGCACCCCATAGCCATAGCCCCGCCCATTGCTCCCCAACCCACCCACTTCTCCCCAACCCTACCTAGTCACAGCCCCACCCACTGCATCCCCCCACCCTGACCCCACACTGCTTCCTGCCCCACCCCACCCTATGCACCCTGCCCCCACCTAGCCACAGCTCCACCCACTGAACCCGTCATGCAACCTCTCACCCCGACCCACTGCATCCCCCAGCCATTGCTCTGCCCCCTTCCCCTGCCCCAGGGCAGCACCCACCTGCCCCCATCCCACTCCCCAGGGCCCCAGTGCGGCGGAGGAGTCCGAGGAGGGTGACATGTACGAGGTGCCCCCCTGTGAGAGCCAAGCCTGGAAGGTGGCTCCAGCCAAGAGGCAGGAGGACACGGACGGCACCTACCTAGGTAACGGGGGGCAGGAGAATGGGAGGCTGGCAATGGGGGAGGGGAGTGGGGAGGGGCAGAGTTGGGGGGGTTGGAAGGTTGGGGGCAGTGAGGCCCCCAGGGCTCATCTCACCCTGTCCCTGCCTCCAGATCATGCCACTGCCCGGCGCTGCTCGGAGCCCTTTGCCCTCCTGCCGGCCAAGGTGAGTGAGCCGCCCGCAGCCCACACCGTGCCCCCTGCATCCCCAATCCCCCTCCCCCAACACCGAGCCCCCTGCACCCCCAATCCTGCACCCCACACCAAGCCCCCTGCACCCCCAATCCCTCTCCCCCAACACCGAGCCCCCTGCACCTCCAATCCCGCGCCCCCAACACCGATTCCCCTTCACCCACAATCCCACACCCAGCCCCCTGCACCCCCAATCCCGCACCCCACACAGAGACCCCTGCACCCCAATCCCCCTCCCCCAGCACCGAGCCCCCTGCACCCCCAATCCTGCACCCCACACTGAGTCCCCTGCACCCCGAATCCCCCTCCCCCACTCCACATTGAGCCCCCGGCACCCCCCACCGAGCCTCCTGCACCCCCAATCCCCCTCCCCAACACCAATCCCCCTGCACCCCCAATCCCACACCCAACACCGAGCCCCCTGCACCTCCAATTCCCCTCCCCCAACACCGTGCCCTTTGCAACCCCAATCCCGCCCCCACACTGTGCCCCATGCACCCCGAATCCCTCTCCCCCAGCACCCACCCTCAGTGGACGTGATGACATGGCACCGTGTGGCCAGCTACATTCCAGGAGAGCCCAGAGAGCCCCCATAGCCCACCATTTCCCCACGCAGCCGGTCTCCGAAGCTGGGGACTTAGGGGTTGGGCCCAGGAGTTACTCAGGGGGTGGGGTGGGGGTTGGAGACCATGGGGAGCCTGGCTGGTAACCAGCCCGTTGTAACCCACAGTTCCTGTCAAAGCTCAGCCTGGTGCCTGGCACAGACGCTGGCAATGGAGAGGAGATGCCCCAGGGCCTGGCCTGCGGGAAAGGTGAGGGGCTGGGGGGGCGGGGGGGTTGCTTTGTGGAGTGACCCCCTTCCCCACAGACACCGAGTCCCCCCAGCCTGGGAGCTTGGAAGAGCCGCTTGGAGCCTCCCCTGGGCCCATGCAGGCTGGCTTTGGCCACAGGGCTGGGGCGGCCTGGCTCCCTCTCCACTTTTGGGGTCCCCGCTTGCCCCCGCCCCGTGGGGGAGGGGATCTCCTTGCCCAGGGCAGTGATTGCCGTGGTGATGGGTGGGCTTGCCGATGGTTGCAGTTACCGTGGTGACTGGGCGGGCAGAGGTGCTAGGGTAGCTGTGTTGGGCCCATGGGGGATATGGGAGGGCAGCGTCCTGGGGGCTGAGTCTCTGGGGCTGGGCCCTGCTGCGGTCCCTGGGGCCCCTTGGGCTCCCCACATGCCCGGCTTGGCCATGCGGCCTCTCGCCCCGGCTGGCCCCTGGCACCCGGAGCTGAACCGCTTCCTTCCCTTACAGGTCAGGACAGAACCCGGGCGAAGCTCCCCCCAGCTCCCGGCAGTCGCCGGGTCTCCCTGCCCATCCCCGTTCCGAGGCCCCCGCCGACGCCTGCCGGCCCCGCTGCACCCCGGGGTATGTGGGGTGTCCTACCCTCCTGGGGGCTGGGCACTGCAGGGGCGGGAGGGGTTGGGAGGTGGGGGGAGTTTCTGGGGGAGGACTGGAGCAGCTGGGGGGGCTTGTCCCTGGGGACTGGCGGGGGGTTCCTCACAGCCCCCTGGGGCCTTTCCTGGGGTCCTTTCCCAAATGGGGTCCTTCTGTTCTCCTCAGTCCTGCTCGGGCTCCGGATGATTCTGCCCACTCCATAGCCCCATTCCAGTTCCCCATCTGCCCCCAATCTCTGCCCCCGGCCTGTCCCCCCTCCAATCTCTGCCCCCAGCCTGTCCCCATCCCCCACAATCTCGTCGCCCCCGGCCTGTCTCCCTCCCCCCCAATCCCTGCCCCCAGCCTGTCCCCCCTCCAATCTCTGCTCCCCCCAGCCTGTCCCCCTCCCCCCCAATCTCTATCCCCCCCCAGGCCTGTCCCCATGGGCGTGCCCCAACCTGGGGGGTGTGAGGTAGCAGGTGGGGGAGGTGCAGGTCCAGTCACATGGATTCGTGTCTCAGGCCCCCCCCCGGACTCCAGTGGTGACCCCCCTCCTTTCAGTGGGGATGGGGAGGGGGCTGGCTTGGGGGGGAATTAGCCTCTGCTGCTCACTTCACCTTGTTCCTGCACCCACAGATCCCGGCCCGACCTCGTGGGACGACAAGGTACCAGAGCCTCCCCCCCACATACACCCCCTTCCTGGTAGGTGCTGGGACAGGGACCCCAGGGCGCTCCCTGCCCCCTATACACCCTGTCCCGGAGGGTGGTGGGACGGGGGCTGCAGGGCACTCCCTGCCTTCACCCGCCTAGATGAACCCTCTGGAAGCACATCCAGCTATGGGGGGCTGCAGAGAGCCTGCCCCCTGTGCACCCTACTGCCCTCTGCTGGGTGGAGTCAGAGCTGCTCCACGTGTATCAGAGCCCCTGTGCTGCTGACAGCTGATGGGGATTCCCTGTGTGTGGGAGCAGGGTCCAGTGTGGCAGGGGTGCAGAGACGGCCGGGGGCTGCGTCATGTATCTACACTCACCTCCCTGATCTCCAGCCAGCTCCGGGCAACACCAACTGACCCACCGCCCCTGCATCCGGCGAGTCAGTTCTGCCTCCTCATGCCACTGATGGGGAAACTGAGGCATGGAGAGAGGCAGGGACGCCACTCAGGGAGTCAGCGGCGGAGCTGGCAATAGAGTCCAGGAGTCCTGGCTCCCAGGCCCCTGCTCTAACCACTAGACCCCCCTCTCCTTCCCTCCCCGGCCCTAGTTTCAGCAACAAGGCCCTATATCCATGGCGGGAGGGAAGAGTGTTCCTGTGGCCCTGCCCATGGCTTGACCCACTGCGGACCATGGGTGTGGGGCACCCGGCGGGTGTCTGGCTGGTTGGGGGCCGGGGCTTTGGGCCCCACCCCCCCAGTGATTCGGGGTGTCTCTTCCCTTCCCAGGAGGGACCCCCAGAGGAGCAGATTTACCTGGTGTGTGAGCCGTCGAGCCCACGTGAGTTCCTGCCTCCTCCCCTGCTCCAGCCCCCTGGGGGCCCAAGACCCTGCTCCGGCTGGGACTCCTGACACCCAGGCATTAAGCCGGGGCCCCCGCCCCACCTGACGCTTGTCTGCTTCCTTCCAGCTCCCTGCAGGATGACTCGCGCCCTGATGCCCCCGCTCGGCCAGGTGCCCCCGCCAAAGCCCCCAAAGCTGTCCAAGTGAGTGCCCCCCCCCGCAGGGCCAGCCTGGCCCCCAGCCAAGCCCCGGGGAGCAGGTCAGGGACCCCAAGCGCCTGCCCACCCGTCCGTGAAGAGTCCATTCCAGAGGCGCAGGGATCCGGCTCCCGGCCCTGCCCCGTTCCCCCCCTCCCTCCCTCGGCCCGGGGGATCCAGCTCCCAGCCCTGCCCCATTCCCACCCCGATGCCCCGGACCTGCCCTGTTCCCCTCCCCAGCCCAGGGGATCCGGCTCCCGGCCCTGCCCCGTTCCCACCCAGGGCCGGGGGATCCGTCTCCTGGCCCTCCCCTGTTCCTGCCTGGCCCAGCTGCCCCTGCCTGGTGAAGCAGGTTCCCCCACTTGGGCCCTGGAGCTGCCTGTATCATGGCCCAAATGCGGGCCAAGGTCTGGGTGCAAATTGCGGTGCAGGACCCTGATGCTCCTGGTCTCTCCAACAGGCCGAAGATCGCCCTGCCTGGGGCCCACCAGGTGAGTGCAGGGGCTGGGGGAGGGACCTGGACTGGGGATTGTGGGAGGGAAGGGGGCTGGGGTGTTGTGGAGGTGGAACCTGGGGTGGGGTGAATGGGATGGGGAGGGGCTGGGGGGCCGGGATAGTTCCTCCCCCACTGCATTGAAGGTGCCTTCTGCTCTCTCTTTGCAGAGCCTGGCTGATTCCTCCCCCGAAGGTGAGTGCCCCACAAAACTCTGCTGATGCCCCTCACTCCCGACCCGCAGCCCCTGTTATCCCTCTGGCCCATGGACTCCCTCCCTCTCCCAGCTCTACTGGTGCCCCTCACTCCCGACCCGCAGCCCCTGTTATCACGGCCCTGGGCAGAGGCACCTGTGGTCTCTCCCCATCTGGGTGTGGCCTGTTTGGGGTCCCTCGGTGCTGGGAAGGTGCGAGCGAGCTGAGGGACTGAACGGGAAAGACCCCTGCCAGGCCACTGGAGCTGGTGGAGGGTCAGGGAGTGAGGATGAGGCTGGGAGCTGGTGGGGGTCAGGCCTGTGATCTCCCTACGTCCTGCCTGAGTGTCGGTGACTATGGTGCCCTCCCGGGGCTGGGCCTGTGGGGGATAAAGGACCTGCTACTGCTGCCAGCTGAGAGAGCTCCCCTCTGGCCCATGGCCCCGCTGGACATCTGCCTTGTCTCCTCTTAACCCCTCGGTGTCCTGCCTCTTTCAGCCTCGAGCAAAGCCCCAGCCTGGCCCAGGGGCAGTGGCTCCCCGGTGGAGGTAAGCGCCTGCCCTGCCCGTGGGCTCGCTGTGCCTGGGGGGCGGGAGGGGTGGCACCTTCCTTCCAGAGTAGCCAGCACAGCCTCTGGGAGGGGCTCGTCCCAGGGGGGCAGATATAAGGGGGGGGACAGAGCAGAGGTGTGAGAACTCTCCCTTCCCCACCCTCACCATGGTGGTCCCTGCTTCACCCCCCCAGCCCCACCCCACCACACAGGCAGCCAGGTGCATTCTGGGAAGATTCACCTTGAGAGTGCCCAGTGTTGCCATGGGGGAGGATACCAGGCCAGGCCCCTTGGATGGGGGGGAGGGATTCTGACCCCCCCCCCCAGCTGCTCTCACGTCTCTCCTGTGCTCCCCAGGATCCTGGCATGCAGGACCAGGCCTGGTACGCGGGGAGCTGCGACCGGCACCAGGCGGAGAGCATCCTGCAGGGGGTCAATAAGGTACCGGCTGCACCTGCCAGGCGAGGGCGAGAGCAGGGCCTGGCCCTGGGAGCCAGGACTCCTGGGTTCTCTCCCAGCTCGGGGAGGGGAGCGGGGCCGAGTGGTTGGGGGGGGCTGGGAGCCAGGACTCCTGGGTTCTCTCCCAGCTCGGGGAGGGGAGCGGGGTCGAGTGGTTGGGGGGGCTGGGAGCCAGGACTCCTGGGTTCTCTCCCAGCTCGGGGAAGGGAGCGGGGTCGAGTGGTTGGGGGGGGGCTGGGAGCCAGGACTCCTGGGTTCTCTCCCAGCTCTGCTGCTGACGCTGTGACTGTGAGCGGGTCAGTCCCCAGCTGTCCCATGGGGTCGGGGTGGGGGGACAGAGGGGAAAGGCTGGGCCCAGAGCCCGTCCCTGGGGCTGTAGGGACCCTGTCATGGTTCCTCCTGCACCCAGGAGCTGCCCCAGGTCTGTGGCAGGTGGGGCCTGGGCAGGCCTGGCAGCCTCTCCCATGCCAGGCCGGGTGCCCCCCAGTGCTGAGCAGCCCCCCTCTGCCCCAGGACAGCGCGTTCATGGTGCGACAGAGTTCAGGGCAGGGCTGGAACCAGCCATTCACCTTGGCCGTGCTGTACAAGGGCCACGTCTACAACATCCCCATCCGCTACGTGGAGAGCAGCCGCCAGTACGCGCTGGGCAAGGACGGGAAGAGCCGCGAGGAGGTGGGTGCCCGGGAGGGCGGGGGGGGGCATCTCCCCTGGGAGCCCTGGGAATGGGGGGACCCCCGGGAAAGCTGCTGGTCGCCCCTGCTGCTCGCTCAGCCTGGGGGGCCAGGCCAGGGTGCTCCATGGACAGCTGGGAGTGAGTGGGACTCAGCAGGGCACACCCAGCCCTGGGAACGGTGCCCCGGGGAGGGTTGGGCTGGTCCCGCTGCTCCCAGCCGCTCTCTGCTGCCATCTCCCCTTTTCTCCCCCAGCGGTTCGACAGCGTGGCCGGCATCATCCAGCACTACCGTGAGCACCCCCTGGTGCTGATCGAGGGCAGCTCCGCCTCCAGGGCGCACACCTGCCTGCTCTTCCCCGTCAAGCCCTGAGGGCCGGGGACAGGCTGGGGGCCCAGCTGCGGCCACCCCCCAGCTCTGCCGTGTGGGACGCGAGGCTCTCTGCACTGGCCGCTCCGGGGCGGACAGCAGGGGGCGCCAACGCTGCAGGAGTCCCCCGTGCTGGGCCATGCAGCCCCCGCAGGGGACAGGGCTTGGGGGGCTGGGAGCTCCCCCCTTCCTGCTGTGGCGACTCCTGCTTTCCCCTCTGGGGGGGCCCCTGTTGGGGTGGGGCTTTCAGAGCCTTTGGGTTGCTCTGGGTCTCACTTGGCCTTTTGCTCACGGTGGGATCTCCAAGCCTGCAGGGCTCGCCCGTGTCAGTAACCGGGGGGATGCGCCTGGGGCCGCCTCCTGGAACCTGTTTGCTGCCATCGGCCCCTCCGGGTCGCGGGCTGGGACCTTTCCAGAGCTTTCCGCTCTGTGCTGGGACTCCCCGGCCTTGGCCTCGCCCCAACAGCTAATCCAGACAAGTGTGGGGGAGGGGGAGACTAGCTGCATCAGGTGCTGGGCTGTGACCCAGGAGGCAGCGGGTTCGATTCCTGCCACTTCCCCTCTCGGTGCCTCAGTTTCCCTTTCCAGCATTGTCTAGTTAGCCCCGCCCACAGACCGCTCCAAGCCCGAATCGTGGTCTGTGGCTGCGCAGCGCCCAGCACAACAGGGCCCTGAGCTCATTCTCCAGGGGTCCAGGCCGTGCCCAGCACCATGGGCCCCCTTTGGACCTCCAGGCCTTAGCCCCACGATTGAAGGACACAGGCCTGACTGTTGGCCCCTGCCGGCCTGAGACCCCCCAGCCTGCTCTGCCACCCGGTGTCCAGTGGGTTGCAGATGGGGCTATGGCCGGATGCTCCAGGCGGGGCTGAGCGCCGGGGAGCTGGGCCGTGGGCACTGACAGAGGACCCTTGACCCAGCCCTTTGGCTCCTGCGGGGCCAGGTGAGGTCAGAAAGCCCAGGAGAGTTGGGCCCAGGCAGGTTGTGGAAGGGAGACCTGCAGGGAGCGGAGTGGGGGGCTCAGTAGGGGGCAGTCAGGGCTGGCCAGAGGGAGCCCCTCCCCGCCCCCGCTCATTGACCCATCGGGGCCCCAGTCACTAGAGTCTGTGATGAGCTACAAGGGGGTGGGGAGGTTGCAGCAGCCCCTTCGCTGCAGACAATGCACCTGCCCCCCCGAATTCCAGGACTCATGGCCAGCGCGCGCCCTCTCCCCCCCCCATTCCTGGGCTTGTGGCCGGCAGGAGAGGGGCTGGGACCCCAAGGGGGCCGGAGTGGGGCAGCCCCACGCAATGCCCACACAAACCACCAGGGGCCCTCGGCATCCAGGAGCTGGGTGTCCCTGGCCACAGCTCCTTCCCCTGGCCACAGAGAGCCCCCGGGCCCTGCCTCTGGATCCAGCATCTCCCCCTGCCCCAGAGCCCATTCCCTGCCCCCTCATCTTGCCTGGGGGCGTTAGCGGAGGCCCTGTCCCACCCCAGCCCTCATGGTACCCGCCAGGCTTCTCGCTGCTGGGCAAGGCCCCTAGAGCCTGGGGCAGGGAGATGCAGCGAGGCAGGGCCCCCTGGCAGGCGCCGGCCAGCTCTGGGGGAGCCCGGGGGACCCGCTGCCTTGGGGGCCTTCCTCTCACCTTGGGCTGAGCCGGGGACCCTGCAATGACCGGGGGGCAGCAGCGCCCCCAGGTCCTCTCTGCACCCCCCGCCTCCTGCGTCAGCCTCTGGCCCCTGGCAGCACCTGCCCCCTAGCACCACACTGGGGGCAGTGCAGCCGGTGTGGGAAAACATCCCCTACTGGCTGCATGTCGGTGGAGTGGAGTCGGTTTGTACACCCTCCCGAGAGGTGGCTGCATGTGGGGGCACTGGCGCATGCCCCCCTCCCCGGCTGGCTGTGCAGCACGTGGAAATCACTTGGCTCGAAGGGGGCAGGCAGGGGCGGGCCCTACAGCCTGAGCAGCCCATCCCCCCGGGGATGAGGGGCAGGGAAACCCGCCAGGCCCCTGACTGGGGGCTGCAGCCGAGCCAAGCACGTGCCATGGGGGCCAGCCGGAGCCTGGCCGGGGCTGAGCGTTGGCGGAGACAAACCGTGCCAGGAGTTCCAGGGCCTTTCCCCTCCAGGACGCGCCCAGGCCAATAGGGTAGGATGAGCACTGAACACACCTAGCCTGCGACTGTTCACACCCCCACAGCGACACTGTCCATACACCCCTGCGATTGTTCACCCCCACAGCAACACTGTCCATGCACCCCTGTGACTGGTCACACCCCCACAGCAATACTGTCCATGCACCCCTGTGACTGGTCACACCCCCACAGCAACACTGTCCATGCACCCCTGCGACTGGTCATACCCCCACAGCAACACTGATCATGCACCCCTGCGACTGTTCTCTCTGTCTCACACACACACACGGACTGTTCACACGTGTGCACACGCAGCCATTGTTCACATGCAGTGCAATTGTTCACATGCACCCCGCACTTTAGCTGTCCCCCAGCTCTCTGTCCCCCCTACCCTATTCACGGGGACTGTCCAGCTGCCAGCCAAAGACCGTGCCCAGACTGTGCTCACACCAGGGCAGTGTGCCCCATGACACCTAGGGCCACTGTCAAGCTGGTGGGGGAGCCCAGGCATTAGTGCCATGTCTCTGCCCTGCCCTGGGGAGCCTCCCTGGGAGCTGGCGCACGGGGCCAAAGTGGGACCTGCTGGGTGGCCAGGCCAGGGACAAGCCACACCCAGGGGTGAAAGTAACTTAAAGGGCTTACTGAGCAGGGGGCGTGGCCTCAAGTGGAAGAGGCGGAGCCTTTAGATACCTGGGCCCTTTAAATCACCCCCAGAGCCCTGCCGCTGCTACCCTGGGGCTCTGGCAGCAGGGCTCGGGAGGCAATTTAAAGGGCCCAGGGCTATGGCCACTGCAGGGAGCCCTGGGCCCTTTAAATCGCCAGCCTGGGGAAGCCAGTTCGGTCTGGCACGGTGTACTGGCTCTTGCTGGTACACCGGACCGGCTTACTTTTACCTCTGGCCACAGCCATGGAGGGGCTGGAGGCTGGGAGTGAGATCTATCACCCACTGCTGGGGCCGGGAGCGCGGCACAGAGAGGATTCTGGGATATAACCCGGGCAGTGCCAGAGCAGGGAGCAGAGGAGCCCGGGATATAACCCAGGCAGGGCCAGGGCAGGGAGCAGAGGATTCTGGGATATAACCCAGGCGGTGTCAGGGCAGGCGTGACATTGCACTCCATATGTTTTATGGAAATATACTGAGTGTGAATATAATGTAACTGGAATATGCTTCATGCAAAAGGTCTCTTGTAAGGTATCATTACAAAGTTTATAATCTACTGAGTGTGGTCATCCTATTCGTATGAATGTATAATTCTTGTATCTGAAACTAGAAATATGAAATATAACTCTCTGGTCCTATTGCAAGTGTGGGCCATTAATGGTGGTTTGAAACCTTGATGGCTCCCATTAACTAAGACAATTGACTGTAAATGGCTCTGTTTACCTGCAAGCCTCCACTGCATACCTGAGGGCCAGTCATGAGAAAAATCCCCTAGTTACAACCTGGGCTTGAACTAACAAGGACTGTACCAGGGGAAAGGATTGGGCCTAGACTAGGAAGGAGTCAGGTTTGTGAAAGAAGCTTATTGGGACATCTCTGAGGGTGAGATTTTATTTGTAATCAGGCTCTTAATGTATTAGGCTTAGACTTGCCTGTTTTGTTTTATTTTGCTTGGTAACTTACTTTGTTCTGTCTGTTATTATCTGGAACCACTTAAATCCTACTTTTAATACTTAATAAAATCACTTTTGTTTATTAATTAACCCAGAATAAGTGATTAATATGTGGGGGAGCAAACAGCTGTGCATATCTCTCTATCAGTGTTATAGAGGGCAGACAATTTATGAGTTTACCCTGTATAAGCTTTATACAGAGTAAATCAGATTTAGATCCCATTGGGAGCTGGGTGTCTGGGTGCTGGAGACAGGTGACTTGCTGA